AGAAGCATGGAGGTAGTCACCGCCGGAGCCCAGGATGAGCTGATGCAGAGCCTGGACTACAAGCTGAAGACGAGCAACACCAGCCACGTCACGGCGCGGCACGACGTGCAGTACTTCCCCAGCTCGCTGAGCTCGTTCTCCCCCACAACCTCTTGGGTCTGCCGCATCCCGCTGACCAGTGGCACGTCCTTCATCGACCCCAAGTCGATCAAGATCGCCTTCCGCGTCAGGAACACGGACGGCACCAACCCGCTGGCCCCGGCCACGCCCAACCCCGCCTGCTTCGTCCAGCGCGTCCAGGTCTTCGCCAACGGCCAGCGCTGCGACGACATCAACTACTACGGCCGCACCGTGGCCGTGCACGACCTGCTCAAGGGCCGAGAGTATAACCGCAACAAGGCCATGGAGGGTTTCGACGAAGTCGACGACCCCCGACGTGCTGCTGCGCCCCACCATGGTGGGCATCCTGCGCTGCGGCAAGATGCTGCCGCCGCAGCTGAACCTGGTGATCGAAATCGAGTTCGCGGACGCCGCGACTGCGCTGTGGTCCGAGAACGCCGGGCCGCACCCGTCGGGCGCCACGCTGAGCACCGACTTTGAGATCCAGAACGTCCGAGTTCTGGCCTCACAGGTCGTCTTGGACTCGGCGCTGGTCGAGTCCTTCAACCGGGCGCTTCTGTCAGGAAGGTCGCTCGTGTTCAGCTACCCCACGGTGCACACGCAGCAGTCCAGCGTCCCGAACGGCATGGCGGAGCACAACGTCACCGTGGCGCGCGCCTTCACGAAACTGATGGGCGCGTTCGTGACCTTCTGGGACAACGACGCAGGCTCGAAGATCCACTTGCTGGCCTACCCGGGGCAGGACGGTGCCCATCGGCGCAGCCAGGCAGGAGGACAGCCTGGAGTTGCAGATGCAGCTGGGCAGCCTGCAGTACCCTCACAACCCCATGAAAGGAGCCTCGGAGCGCTTCCACTTCCTCTCGGTCCTTGCGGGTACTTACGACGACACGGTGCGCAACATCGACATCGGCCGTGTGGGCTACCTGCGTCACAGCTTCATTGCCGGCTTTCCGACCGAGCGCGTGCCCAAGATGCCACTGCGTGGTGTCAGCACCCGCTCGGGTGACCTTGCTCGGTTCACCTTCAAGGGCCTGGACGGCACGATGACGGACCTGTTCATCCACCTGGTGGCCTACCAGCTGGTGACGCTCTCCGGCACGGGCGTCTCGGTGCTCGACTAAAAAATGCCCCCTTTGAGGACAGCCCAGTTTGGCAGCGCCAAAAAAACTAGCAAAATCTCCAAAAAAAAGCCCGCTGTCGTTCGCCGCCGTTTTTGGCTAGAGACGACTGCGCCACAAAAAAATGACCCAAAAAAACGCTGTCGTTCTTCGTCGTTTTTGAAGTTGAGTGACAGCGCCAAAAAACCAGCAAAATCACGGAAAAATGGACTTGTTCAAGGCTCCTCGGTTTAGAGGAAGCCAGAATCATCTGATTCCTCTGCGAATTGTCTCGAAATAGGGAAACACTGCAAAATCGAGTGGCTCCATTGAGCTTTCCCGTTTACAATCGAAGGAGGGCTTAACCTCAAAGCAAACTGGCTCAGCACACCCAATAAGTTGTAAGAAAACCACCCCCCCCAAAAAAAATGTTTCCTCGAACGATCTGGAAGCTAGGCGGCGGTGTGTGTACAGTTTATGGTAAGCACAAAGCACTTTCGGCGGAAGCTCACAAGGCTGCGTGGACAACATGAAGGCAAATCTTACATTACGCACCTTAGGTCTTCTCGAGATATTCTGGCTACGAGGCGGCGCGTAGCTGTTCTGGCCCGGGGCTTCATGTTTCGGGCTGGCGCGGCTGCGCGGGCTGTCATGTTCTGGGCGGGGACCCACTAGCGAGCCCGCACTTCAAGCGATCACGAGTTTGCGGTAAATACGACGCAAAGTGCTCCCGGACAAACACGGGGGCCTCATTTTGCGCGAGCCCGCGCAGTCGAAACGCACTTCGACATCACACAACATCACAATTTTGCGGTAAATACGACGCAAAGTGCTCCCGGACAAACTCGGGGGCCTCATTTTGTGCGAGCCTGCGCAGTCGAAACGCACTTCGACATCACACAACATCACGATTTTGCGGTAGACGCAACGTGCTCCCGGACAAACTCGGCGGCCTGATTTTGCGCGAGCCTGCGCAATCGAAACGCCAACATCACATTTTCGCGATAAGTACCACCAGGCCTTTACTCCTACCGTAAGAACCCCTCAGTGGACACATTGTTTGGGGCATGAGCGTGTCTCCATGATTGTGGTTAGGGAGGGTTCCAACGCCGTTTTCGCTGGAAGCAATCGTATAATTTTGAGCACGTGCTGAAGAACTTCCAACACATCTTCCCAGTGACCTGAGAGGCGACTGTCCGAAAAGATGGTCAAAGCACCTGGATCCTGCCTTCGCGCACGGTGATCACGGTGTTGTAGGACACCACATCTGCTTACACCCGGCCCTGCCAAAAAGGTCGTGCAAGACTCATATCAGACACTTAATCTTCACAGCGCAGCTCAACTGACCCCTGAACAGGTTCCGAAGAACAAGTCTTCTGTTTCTGTGAGCAAGTGCCTTGCAAAGCCCTGACTTTTTGCTCTCTCGACACGACGCTCTTCGAAATATACAAGAAGGAATGGCAGGATGTCCCACCAGCCATGTTGACCCCAATCCTGTGTCCAGTTCTCTGTAAACCCAGCACAGCGCCCGCCTTGCACTACACAGGGATTAGCGGATGAATTTTTCACATGGGCGCCAAATATCTTTGGTTGCGAAAGGCAAACTGAAAGGAAACCAACTACGTTGGGGCCCCTCGTGTTGAGACATACCGAAATCGCTTCATGCGTGGCCAGCCAAGCCATGAGCACGTCGGCTCGCAAAGCGCTGCTTCGATGGATGGATGTACGGTTTTCGACCCTGCCCCGAGCCACGCAGCGCTGGCGCTGTGGTCGAAGCTGCCACGGCGGTCCAAGTCGGCTCTGCGCTCCACAGAGAACGCTGCGAAGGAGGCCTCTGCTGTCCAACATGCTATCCGCAAACCTCAGAAGCACTCCGGCAAGAGTTCAACAGCACAAGCAGGCCCTGACTGCTTTGCGACATGCTACGCGCAAATGAGGGCACTTTGGGGCGCCGACGCGCAAACGGCAACAAGAGTGGCCGAAGCTGCTGCAACAAGTCCTGAACGATTGGACGGAGGCCCCTGCTTTGAAAAGCGCTCTCCGCAAGCCTCGGAAGGCGCTTTGGGACTCTGGCGACAATTCAACAGGCTCCCAAGGCGCTGCAAGTAGAGGCTCCCAGGCCTTGTCGCAAGCAAAGAAGGAAGGCTGTAGAACAGGATTCAACGCGGCATCATCTGAACCATCCAGTGCATGCCACGTGTCCAAAACCATCTGGCTGCGGCTGCAGGGAGATTGTCCAAGCAAGCTGACGCACCGCAGTTTGGTCCATCGGGCAGCTGGCCCACAAACAAGCCATGTTCCAACAGACATTGTAGGCCACAACTTCCATGGCCACTGCCATTGCCACTGCCATTGGCCAAACAAAAGGATGGAAGGTGACTGTGATGAAATCGAGGCAGTGCTGACATGTGACGGGCCAGAGAGAAGCAAGCCTGAGCCCAGCCATGACGCAGGCAGTCCGCAGATGGAAAGCCCAGAACAGCTGGTGAAGAAGGCCGGCAAGTACTGGGTGTCTTTGCGACATGTTTTGAGTAAATCTTGGAAGGCAAATTCACTGGACGTGGGCAACAATTCAGCAGGCCCCCTCCCGCATAGCTTCTTTGCAAGTGGAGCCCGGACCTTGTTGCATGTGGCAGCATGCAACGTCGCGTCTGAATCTGAACCAAGTGTTGTCCTGAACGGCCTTAAATGGAGAGGGTGAAGGAATATGTTTACCAGGTCTAACCCCCTCACCAAGTGATAGCGAGGAAAGGGAAATGATGGGTGACAAGATCTGACCCGCCATCACGTTCCCCCACACACGCTGCTGTCGGAAAGGGGCACCGTGGGAGCGAGTGAAGGCCATCTGCCCAACCTTGCGGACTTCGTCCGGCAGTTTGCTTGTGCCACACGCAGCGGGCACCTGTCTCACTCTGAACCCAGTTCGCACGAGGTATCGCCCTCATGCGAAGATTGCCAAGGCCTTGCGCGAAGCCAACCGCCGCTTGCCAAGCTTCGCAAATTTCAATGAAAAGAGTACTGATCTCATGAGCTTGTGTCTGCTCTCAAAACGGGTGGTTTCCCATTGTCTTCCTAAGGAGTTAAAACAAAGACGCACCCACATGATGTCATCTGTTTGGCAGGCACTGTGGATGCACGAAATCCACACACACCAGTTGGGATGGATGAAGCCTGGATGGAACCCCTTGAATGCTGGACAAGCGCGGAAATCCACCTAGCAACTGGTTGGCGATGTATCTGGAAAAGAGACACGCTTACAGAAAGATACAACGCTGAATACTTTCCAGAATCTGACCATGATGATGATGTTTATGACGAGGATGATGATGATGATGATGATGAATCATCACTGCGTCACTTGCGCGACTCAATTGCGCTTTACTTGCGCAGCCCCGTGTTTGACTTGCGCGGCCGCTCCTGCAACACACTCCTGCCTGTGACATTTCAAGCGGCGGTGCAGCTGATTTGATAGGTCCAAAACAACTGGGAATGACACATACAACGGGTTTTTGTTCCGGCTCAGATGTTACCCGGCGCACCAACTACGTCTCCAGGATGTAAGATTGGATTTCATACCTAGGGGCTCCAGCGATGCGCAAAGGACACCGTTTGGCGCAAACTGCATGGGCCGCAGTGCGGTCAACAAAGCGCACGATTTCTTGCCAAAGCGCACGGTGTTCTTGCCAAAGCGCACGTGTTTGGCATCGTTTTCTGCAAACGGCACTAGACAGCGTCGTTTGCTAAAACGATGTTCAAAGGACACTGTTGGAGCCTCTAGGTATGCTTACAAGTCGTACAGGTAGCTTCTCTCGTCACAATGTGCTTGCAGGGCCCAAAGTCTCAATGGCGATGCGCGCCACTGATGCGTATGAACTTCTTCACTCATTAGCTTAAAAGCCACGCAAGCTCCAAAGAAGTTGCGCACCTTCATCGTGGCTGAGGTGAGATCACTGGGTGTGGGCTCGCTATGCTTAGCGCGGAAACATCCTCTTGTGCGTAAAATAAGCAAAAGACTCGGCCTTGGAAAAACTCCCAAGCATGTCCGAGAAGGCTTTAGACTTGCGCTCCGGCCCCCTTCATGCTGGCACGCTATCAAGATAATCCGCCCCAGCAAGCGACCCTTGGTTGAAAGTGCCTTCGGACTCTGATATCTAAGATGTAACAGCCTTGAATGAAATGCCCCTGACCATTGGAAAAAGCTTCCTGTAGCTGCCTCAAGCTTCCAACCGATGTTCCGCTGGAATTGGTTGGCCCTGAAAGTTGGCCCTTGCACAGAAAGCAGGCGGTGTTTTCACGCTTGCATGTTCTGACTTGCCACGCAATGCAGAGACAGCCTTGATTGCAAATGACTCTGGCCATTGGAACAGAAGGAGCTAAAGCGAGCAAAGTTGGCCCTTGCGCAGAAGGCGGTGTTTTCACGCTTGCATGTCTGACTTGCCACGCAATGCAGAGACAGCCTTGATTGCAAATGACTCTGGCCATTGGAACAGAAGGAGCTAAAGTGAGCTATCCTGTCCCATTCCTTGCTTTGCTTGGCTGCTGAGGCGATGGCGGATGCCCAACACAGCTTTGGCACGTACGGCCAACCAGTCTCATGGGCTGTCAAAACGCCACTCGCCAGGCAACTGACACAGCGTGCTTGGCTTTGCAATGTCGAGCGCAACACTTTGCTCCTTGGCCTCTGCACACAAAGTGAAGCCAACGCTCAGACGGCATGCGAATCATTCTGGCAACGGCCGCCGCGCAATACTTGCGTTGCGCAACTTACTTTACATCGGCCTACTTCTGCTGCTGGAGGCCGGTTGGTGATCCAAAAGTTGGGGATGGGGCCCAAGCACAGTGAAACAGCAGCCCAAAATGCGTCTGCCGGGCATCCTGCCGTCTAGCTTGCAGGGCCCGAAGATCTGGAACGGCAAGCGCCATAAGTGTCTCAATGGCGACGCACGCCTCTGATGTGTATGAACTTCTTCACTCATTCGCTTAAAAGCCACGCAAGCTCCAAAGAAGTTGCGCACCTTCATCGTGGCTGAGGTGAGATCACTGGGTGTGGGCTCGCTATGCTTAGCGCGGAAACATCCTCTTGGGCACAAGGTCCCTCAACTTGCGCGCTCTTCCACCTCAACAAGCGCAGCAGGCCCGCGGTTCGGCGAGCTGAGCAGGTGTTCCCAAGCATGTCCGAGAAGGCTTTAGACTTGAGCTCCGGCCCCCTTCATGCTGGCACGCTATCAAGATAATCCGCCCCAGCAAGCGACCCTTGAGGCACTTTCAACCTTCGGGCTCTGATCTCTAAGATGTAACAGCCTTGATTGCAATGCCCCTGACCATTGGAACTGCTTTGCTTGGAGTTGTGTTGCACTGATAGGTGCAAGTGCCAACCTGACACGGGTTCAGGCACTGCTGGGGCGACAACCCCATTGTAGCGAGCGGGGGGAAACCTCCGCAGGTCACGACGCACACCAGCAGGGCCAAATCACACTGCAGCTGTGTTGTAGCTATGGCAGGTCACGCAGTTTACCTACATCAGCTTCTTTGGTGTTGCTGTTGGTAGCTTTGTAGCTGCCTCTAGCTTCTAACCGATTTCCCGTTGGAATTGGTTGGTCCCGAAAGTTGGCCCTTGCACAGAAGGCAGGCGGTGTTTTACACGTTGCGTGTTCTGACTTGCCACGCAATGCAGAGACAGCCTTGATTGCAAATGACTCTGCCCATTGGAACAGAAGGAGCTAAAGTGAGCTATCCTGTCCCATTCCTTGCTTTGCTTGGAGTTGTGTTGTAGCTATGGCAGGTCACGCAGTTTACCTACATCAGCTTCTTTGGTGTTGCTATTGTGGTAGCTTTCTGTAGCTGCCTTGAGCTTCCAACATATTTTTCGTTTGAATTGGCTCCCGAAAGTTGGCCCTTGCACAGAAAGCAGGCGGCGTTTTCACGCTTGCATGTTCTGACTTGCCACGCAATGCAGAGACAGCCTTGATTGCAAATGACTCTGGCCATTCCCATTCCTTGCTTTGCTTGGAGTTGTGTTGTAGGTGTGGCAGACCTACATCAGCTTCTTTGGTGTTGCTATTGGTAGCTTTCTATAGCTGCCTCGAGCCTTCCAACATATTTAGGCACGTGCGTGCGTGTTCTGACTTGCCATGCTATACAGAGAGAGTGGCTGCTCGGCCCTTGGCAGCACAAGCTCCTCAGCCTCGGCCAGCGGCAAGTCCTCCCATGTCAGAATGGTAGCCACATTCAGCTGCTTGGCGACGATGCAACTGGTCAGAACCGCTCTGTTGCGGTTGCAAAC